CTTCTGGAATCATTTTCCATTTCTTTAGTTCTGATTTGTGCCTCTGCCTTTTCTTTTTCAATCTGAATTGACACAGCTATTTTCTCACGTTCCAAATTCAATTCTTGTTCTTTTAATATTCTTTCTTGTTCCATTTGTTTCTCTTTCAATATTTTCTCTTGTTCAAGCTGTTTATCTTTCATCTCCATTTCTTGTTTTTTCATTTCTTTTTCTTGTTCCAGTTGTTTATTTTTCATCTCCAGTTCGTGTGCTCGTGACAATCTCCGTTCTTCTCTCAAATCGTCTTGTATTTTCTTTTCTTTCTCATCCATCTCTTTTTTCTGTTGATCACAAAATTTTCTAAGTTCTTCCCCTTCCAAATTTAATTCTTTGCCCAGTTTGATCAGCTCTGCCAAGTTAGACATTTTGATGTCCTCACAATGTAAACAACAATATACTTACAATACCTTTCTTTCAAAATACACACCTTAAAAAGAACAATATAAGTTCAAATAATGAACTAGTAACTTGAATTAATAACTAAATGTCCCTGGGTATCAATACTATACCTGAAAATAAAGTGGATGTAACTCTTCCAACCACCAAACCTATAACTAAATAATTCTATATATGTACAGTTGATGTTTGAGAAGAAGAGTTAACTAATATTTATTTAGCTTATGGAAGAGTAAATCAGTTAAGCACACTTGAGAAATTAGATATGACAGCAAGACAAATGATCTATTATTTGATAAAGATTATTAATCAACTAATAGAATGTTGTAGCACTAGAATAGATGCAGTGGATTATCAAGTGATGATGTAGTAGACTATCAAAGTATTTACTAAATAAATAATTAATATGTAAATATCTAACAATGAATAAATGTTATATTCCTGTGTAGTACAGTAGTTGGTTATACAGTTTCAGATTAATTATATCTTGTGAGATAACACCAACAAAAAAAAATTGTCTTTAATGGCCGCACAGTCTGGGTATAATTAAATTCTCTTCTAATGAAATAGCTAAAAAAATATTTGATTGAATTAGTCTTTATAATAGACTGTGATAGAGTAATCACTAATACTCTCAAATACTTAAATTATTTCACGTAATAACTACTAAATACACTTGTTTAGTATGATGCTTATTAAATTCGCTTTCAATGAAGCAAAACTCAGTTACAATATATATGCAGTAACTTATAACACAATAATTCTTATTCACCAATAAATTTAGTCCATATTAGAAATCAACAATAATATTATTCAATACAGATTAAATAAAGATATAGTGTTGAATCAATGATTGTAAATAAATTTAGTCAATATTAGCAATCAACAACAGTATTATTGACCAAAGGTGAATGAAGATATGGTGTTCAATCAATGAATGTATCACCAAATAATATTACAATAATCTTTCCCCAATTCACTGTTAAATCCCCAATACAATACAATTTCTATTATCCACACTGTACTTTTGTTATAGTGGTTACGTTTGATGATGGTCAAATGTGAATGAGTAGATCAAATGTTAAACTCAAATTGAAATAACTGTGACACTTGATAATGATGATGTGTATATGATATTATATTAATAAAATATTACTTGATATTTTCAGACTAGATGATATTAATTTAGTATTTTGGTAATTTCCTAATTATGTATGATTAATTATGGCACTTCCTGATGATGGTGGTACTGAACTTCCGTGTAATATAACACCCACAATTTTTGAAAATGAAAAAACAAAAATATATAGAATTTCAATACAATTTGCCAATATTTATAAATAACAAGAAATAATGTAAAGAATAATAGAATAATGCAAAGTAATATCAAAAACCAATGTAATAATAATAAATAAATAAAATAAATGTCAATGAATGCACTATTGTAAATTATAAATAAATAATATTGATAATTATAATAAATAACTGAATCACCAGAAAAATAAATCAAAAATAAAATTAATAATCAATGCTGTATATTGTTGTGCTGATCTAGTTGACTGTCCTGAAGTTGACCTGAAGCTGGTTCTGCGATGGCTGTTGCTTTCTTGAAGGTTGTTTCGTTGAAGCTTGTCCGTTGAATATGTTACTGCTACTTTTAAAATACTGAAGAAATGATAATTTGATCGGGTTAATTAAAATTAAATACCATAGTAATGATTTCATCAACTGGGCACTGAAATTAATTCTGACCGCACAGTTTATCTGTTCACACTACTAATTTTAGCATTGAATGCACACTGATTAAGGAATTGTTCAGTGAAGCATTTATTACAGAAACTGCATACTGTTTGTGGCACTGTTCACTGTACTATCGGTTTCATAAACTGGATATTGATCACTGAATAGTTCATTGGTAGCTACACACTTCAATAGTACCTTGTTAACTGCAGATACTTAAATAATTCACTGCTAGATACACTCTTAAATAGTACATTGTTAACTGCAGATACTTAAATAGTTCACTGGTAGATACACACTTCATCAATACTTAAATTTGCACCGACCAATTTGATGCTTTTCCTGTCGACTGAATGTGTTTAGGACGTAGGAAGGCTTTATTGTTATCGCTTTCTTGTGATATGTGCGATTATACGATGAACTTGAAGCATTATTGATCACGAGACATCAATGAGTGCTGATCTTGAGGTATTGTAGGCTTCTCATACTGTAGTTTCCTATTAAATGGTTTGCCACGGCTGAAAATGTAGTGCTGCGACACAAACACCCAGTGTCAGAGCTGTGTTTCTTTTGATTTCCGTACAGTTAACACTCTACCCGGTGTTTTACTGTCTTTCTATGTTTTGAAAAAACAGATCCGAAAAACAGGATCTGGTGTCGACGCTTCTCTGTGTTGTTCAGTGTAGATTTCCCACTACACTTAACCACACTTTAGTCGGCAGCAAAATTTGATCAAACAACAAGGCTTCGGAAGTATTCCTTTGCTACTATTAATGATTGCTCTTTGACACTGTCACTGTCTGCAATCTTTCCTTTACATATTTGTTGATTGTTGATTACTTGGTCGAAACTTAAAACGTGGACTTGTCTATCAGTATTCAGAGCCTGGAATTTGTTCGAACGTTGTTCAATCTGTGAACCATCGAATATGGGTTGTTGTTATGTCGCCATCGATCTTCCCCGCTTACGTTCGTATGTTGAACTGGTACTACCCGACGTCAGGTAACTTAAACTAAACTCATTTCCAATGTCTCAGATTTTACTGTACGAAACAACTTTCCTATCCTCAAATGTTTGGACGAGTTCCCCATTCTGCAGTGATCTTCATTGTTATTAATTGCTGGCTCGAATGAGTCACCGCATCTTTCCATTCACCAACTGACAAGAACGAGAAAACATGGACGCTGGCAGACGTTCAGAAGTTGCACGTACTGTTTATTTTCACTCGCTGATGTTGCAGTCAGTAAATGTTTATACACGACAATATCATTCATCGATTATTAATGTTATGCTCTAAACAGTCAATCATACCTTGGTAACATCGTAGAATTCACACAACTTAGCGAAACACAGTAATGACTAATTCCCTCCATCCAGACGACAGTCATTCACAGCTGGCCACCGTTTCCGTCAGCCGCTATTTCATGCCAGGTAGGCATTGGGAAATCACGCTATTCAGACGACAACATTCTTCCGGACTTCTCACACGTACACCTTCCCTTGGCCTAAACGAGACTGCCTCCCAAACCTTTCTTCGCTATTATATAGCCCTCTGATCTGTCATGTTCTCGAATATTCTGGATAATTTCATTCTCACGAATTCCCCACCGTTGAAAGTCGTGTCTGGCCAGTGATAATTCGCATTTCACACGAATCCTGTCAGTCAACCTTCATGGTTCACGTGAACAATCATGTTTCACATAAAACCTGACTTTCAGATGTCTCTCATGAAACTCAAGACATAAATCTCGTGTTATCTCAGTCAGTCAAAACATTCGCCTTACATGTATTACTGACGTCATCTATCGGGCATAACTTAATGAGGAGAAAATTACTCACTACACCAAGCACAGCACACATAGATGACTTTAGATGTGGTCTATTTTTAGCTCTAGCACTAACCAAACACAGCACAAATAGATGACTTTAGATGTGGTCTGTCTTGAGCTCTAGCACGAACCAAGCACAGCACACATAGATGACTTTTTGCGGTTCCAGTATCAACAAAGCATAGTATACAGATAGGCAATGTGATCTTGGACAGTCTCTGTATTTTTTAACTAGCAATGATCTTCTACTAAAATAACCATAACACATAAGCTAAGTCGATTCAACTGTTTTCGTGATCACAGATTGAGCTATGACGTATAGTCGAAGGATTTGCTAATCAATTACATGACACGCTTACCTTTGAACTCCCTGTCTCTGTATCGATACCGCTCAACCCGTTTTCTCCACTCTCTGAAAATCCTGGGCTAGCTGTCACGGCTGCTACGTTCGGTTCATGGGTTCAATTTTGTGGACACCCCTAGGGATCGTCACAGGAGCTACAGTGTTCATGTTTTTTCGACAAATTTGGCTGGCGGCTATCCGTTCTGTGAAGAAACACTGATCTATATGGGATAAAATCAGGTGCAATAAAGACAAATCCATAGACTGAAACAGCTGAATTATTATGGCACAGAAAGAAACCGGGTCATTATTGGGTGGCCTGTGTGCTGTGATATAGAAACCGGAACTGCTGTTGCTGCTAATACTGCAGCTAGTGCTGTTGCAACTGCTACTACTAATACTACTACTGCCACTGCTGCTGCTACTTCTATTGCTCGTGGAGGTCTTATGATTGTTAAGGACACATTCATTCCCTTCATAGCCATCAGAGAACTTGCATTGTGAACTTTTCATTGTATTAGATTGTATGGCTTGCTAAAGAATATCAGTGTATCTGTTATAATGACATGGCTTGTCATAGTTAGAACAAAACAACTGTCTGTCAGTGACAGCAGTCACATCGAGATGTATACCATTTCTATGTTCCATTGCAGCAAAAGCGGCGGCTGATGCACTGAAATCCCAGGGAGTCAAGGTCTTTGCTGTTGGTATCGGAGAGCAGGTGAATCTGAAACAGCTCATCAACCTGGCCAGCGACAGCAAGAATGTTGTCGGCTCTGTCGACTTTGATCTCCTGGATTATATCGAAGAGGGGCTAGCTGAGATCATCTGTAAAAGCGTCGGTAAGTCACTGTGGTTGTTGCAGTTTCGGTGCTAGTTACAGCTGTGCTAGTTATAGCTGTGCTAGTTATAGCTGTGCTAGTTATAACTGTAGCGTCGGTAAGTGACTGTTGTTGTCGCAGTTTCTGTATTAGTTATAGCTGTGCTAGTTGTTATAGCTGTGTTAGTTATAGTTGTGCTAGTTGTTATAGCTGTGTTAGTTATAGCTGTGCTAGTTGTTATAGCTAGGTTAGTTATAGCTGTGCTAGTTGTTATAGCTGTGCTAGTTATAGCTGTGCTAGTTATAGCTGCAGCGTCGGTAAGTGACTGTGGTTGTTGCAGTTTCGGTGCTAGTTATAGCTGTGCTAGTTGTTATAGCTGTGCTAGTTATAGCTGTGCTAATTATAGCTGTGGCGTCGGTAAGTGACTGTGGTTGTTGCAGTTTCGGTGCTAGTTATAGCTGTGCTAGTTGTTGTGACTGTGCTAGTTGTTATAGCTGTGCTAGTTGTTATAGCTGTGCTAGTTGTATCAGTACTTGTAGTAGGTTTTGTAATGCTGTCGGCAATCCCAAAGTGGATAGATGCTTTTGTGATGAGTAGGACTTTTCCTTTCAACACTTCACCTCCACAAGAGAAACTGGACCAACATCCGAGCTATGTGGATATCACAGTAGATATCTGAGAAAACTGCCATATTTAGCTCGTTATGTAAATTAATAGCTGCTGCACTTGGTACCCACAGGAGAAGGAAAGGTGTTTTAGATATCTATATTATTATAATTGTTGAATTATTAGACAGGGCAGGTGACCCCTCCCGACTACCTCCTCCTGGGAAAGAATTATCAACAAGAACCCATCAAATGCAATTCTATATAACATTTTAGTTAAACACATAGGAACAAAAACTTGGAATTTGAAAAAAGATGAAATATAAAACCATATATTTGATGTATTATGCTAGCAATCAGTTAGATGACATTAGTCATTTATTATACATTTGATATAACAGGGATGGTATGGTGGTAATGAGATGCTTCAACTAGAGAACTCAGCATCTGAGATTAGAGTGAATTTATAATGATGATAAGTTTTCGTAACCTAGTGGTTATGCGAGATAAAACCTCTGACAGTCGTAAGGCACTGTCAAGCTTTTCAACCTCTGCCTGGTTTCTTTCCAGCTGGTTCCACCTCCTCCTACTTCTTCCCAGCTTGCCGATCTCCCACACAGTGTAGGTTTGTGCACGTGGACACTCTCTTTCTGTTGTCAGAACTGACTGGTCTTTACCCCGATGGGATCTGTAATAATTGAAACAAACACATATTTGTAGTATCTGGACTTACACTAAGCATGCATATACTAATAAAATATATATCATCTCTCTTCCTCATATTCCACATTCTCTCCAGTCTAGTTTGAAGGTCTTATGTCTCACACAGATGTCTCACATATCTTGCCTTCCTTCTCATGTACTGTCATTATAGTTAACTTCCTAAGTCTGTTGTCCGTCTTAACCAGTCTTCCAAACTGGCTGACATTGTTTTGCCATGAACACGAGGCGCAGGTTCTGCGCTGAACACCCTAAACATATTTTATACCTGCATGCTGTACTGAATATTATCTTTCCAGTGACAGTGAATTCTATACACCCCATGATTTTTTTCCCCAGGGTTATCAATCCGCTGTTTAGGTGAACCTTTTTAGTGAGCACATGGTGGGCTATCAAAAACACAACCATATGGCTGCACATGTGGGCATTATTTCCCCACAGTCCAGGCTCATGTTTTGGTTGATGATTGAAACAATATAATTTAATAACATTTAAATACACAAGTCTTATTTTATAAACATGAAAACATACACGGAAAAACCTGTGATACAAACAAACAAGAAATAGTAGTAGAAAACCAGCTCCCTAACTGAGATAACTGAATACTAAATAAAATTAAAAAAAATATGCCAAGCAGAATGTGAAGTTAGATAAATCCAGAAAGGTAGAGTAGACTAAGCTAAGCCCCCGCTGGCTATGAATACAAGATTGTAAATAATATACAATCCTACCTGGGATGAATGGCACCTTTCTGTCTTTCCAGACGATAGTGTTATATTGTGCTATGAGGAGGCATGAGACTCACAGCCCATGGCGATGGCGAGTGTGATTAGCGAAACCCGCACGTGTCAAGAAAAGTGTTTCACAATGATAGCATGGGATTTCAAGACCATTGTTGTCAACATTTTGTGTTTAATCTGTTTCTTTTCAGACGCTCAGCTTTCATCCTTTCTGCAATCATTTCTTTCTTCCCTCTCATTCCCTTCCTGATATGCCCTTTCCACACAACACGGTCGATGGCATTTTATTCCCACGAGTTCACCCTAATACCTGTATCATTCATGTCCCGCTTGCACACATCTTTTTATCGTAGTAGAGGTCGGTCTCGACATCTTCTTCCTGTCTTTAATTCATCATAAATGATGTCCTTAGGGACTCTGCCCTTCCCCATTCTCCAGGTGGGACCTAACCTCCTTAGCCTTCGTAGACTGAGCATAGAAAAGACTGTTGTAGTACCTGCTCTTTCCAGTACCTCAGTGTTTGTAATTTTGTCCTGCCACTTAATGCCAAGTATCCTTTTTAGGCATCGCACGTGAAAGCTATATAGCCGTTTCCCCTCTTGCAAATAGATTGGCCAAGTATCACTGTCATAAAACACATTGCTGAGAACACAAGCCTGATAGACAAGGGTTTTGGTTTTTATTGTGAGCTCTTTGTTCTCCCAAACTCTCTTTGTCAATCTGCTCATTGTTGTTGCTGCCTTACCTATCCTGATGTTGATTTCTTGGTCCAGCGATAGTTTACTATTTACTGAGGAACCCAGATAGGTAAAATGGTATACTGTCTCAAGCTCTTCACCGTCAATGTAGACTGTAGGTCTGTCATTGACACCTTGCACCATAATCATACCTGGGAACATTCCAGCAAATTACCAAACAAGACTTACACAGCTCTGATGACTTAGGATCTAACCTGTTGGCCTGCTGGCAGCACTATAAAGTAAATGTTCAGATAACTAGCAGTATATTAAGTACCTTAATCTACCTGCAAGGTTACCCACTTCATTTTATAGTATCTAACCTGCTCTACGGGATAGGCTTTTAGCCACCCACCTGAGATACCTTGCAGATCCAATTATCTTTCAAAATGGCTGTCAATCAATCCTAGACTGATCAAACTTTCTTGAGTGGGAGACTCTAGTCCCAGCTAGTGTCACTGACAGGTGTAAAAAGCCGGTCAAGAACCCTCTGGTCTGGTGTTTTCTACTTGACCAAGTTAATTCATCTGATCAGACGGGGTCAAAAGGCCCAGTCTGGCCGGTTATTTAACTTTTATGAAACTCTGTGGTCAGCTTTATCCAGGTAGAAAGATTAGCTAGATTAGGTAATGTTGTGTAATATTAAACAAAGCCTGGCTGCTTTTTTTCTGGCTAAGGACTGGAAATAATTTAAAATCCCACATGGTTTAAGTATTATTTGCGCGTAGTGTATAGTAAATATAATTCTTTGTCTCTCTATGAAGATAAGAAATTATGAAACATAATAACTTCTGAAAACTCTTCAGTCATTACGTCACAAATGCTAGTTGTAGTTGTGCTAATATCTTGTAGCAGTTTTTGCTTAGTAGTTTATGCAATATTTGTAGTGTACCAGCGTAGTAGTTGTACCATCAGTTGTACTAGTTGTTGATTGTTAGGTATATATATAATCGTAAGCAAATTAGTGAATAAGTCATCGTAATGAACGACTATTCAGTCCAACGAACAAACGAGCGTACAACACGATGTTTACAAAGAATTCGGTACACATCAGTGCCATAGGAATATATACAAGCTGTCGGATATTTTCAGCTCTGGGCAAATAGGAGACTGGGTTGTCGTATTTTAACTGACGAGTGAAGTTGTTGTAGCAGTAGTAGTCTATGATTGCTGTTGTCAACAGTGAAGTGATGTCTCCAGTTCACGTTTGCTTCTAAACACTGTCATTAAGAGTTTTGATGCCATCTATAACGAAGCATTTATTGACTTGATCGACCGTGAAACTTAGCCTGAACTTGGATACGAAGAAATATTTTGGGAAGCAATGTCAGCAGACGTTACAGTGATTACACTATTCATTCTCGCCAGACCACCAGCTCCCAAAAATCTGGTATGCTGAGATACAAATCGCTTCAAGGATACGCTAAAGGCGTCACTTCTGCATTCACTAAAAACCCTGACACCTGTGAGGCTGCTGCAAGAGCCCGGACCACACTGCGAATATTTATCTCAAAGAGGTGCAGGGGCTTTTGATGCATCTAGACCAAGATCGGCTGAACAGCGAAGACAGGCTAGCTAGAGAGGGCCGAGTAAAAGACAACTTTATTACGGACATTGTTCCATGTGCTCGTTGTCCCAGATACATTGTTCCCTGTACCCATTGTTCTAGATACATTGTTCCCTATGTTCATTGTTCTAGATACATTGTTTCCTGTGCTCCTTGTTCTACATACATTGTTCCCTGTGCTCCTTGTTCTAGATACATTGTTGCCTGTGCTCCTTGTTCTAAATACATTGTTTCCTGTGCTCCTCGTTCTAGATACATTGTTCCCTGTGCTCCTTGTTTTAGATACATTGTTCCCTGTGCTCTTTGTCTAAGATACATTGTTCTCTGTGATCCTTGTTCTAGATACATTGTTCCCTATGTTCATTGTTCTAGATACATTGTTTCCTGTGCTCCTTGTTCTAGATACATTGTTCCCTGTGCTCTTTGTCCTAGATACATTGTTCTCTGTGATCCTTGTTTTAGATACATTGTTCCCTATGTTCATTGTTCTAAATACATTGTTCCCTATGCTCCTTGTTCTAGATACATTGTTCCCTGTGCTCCTTGTTCTAGACACATTGTTTCCTGTTCTCCTTGTTCTAGATACATTGTTCCCTGTGCTCCTTGTTCAAGATACATTGTTCCCTGTGCTCTTTGTCCTAGATACATTGTTCTCTGTGATCCTTGTTTTAGATACATTGTTCCCTATGTTCATTGTTCTAAATACATTGTTCCCTATGCTCCTTGTTCTAGATACATTGTTTCCTGTGCTCCTTGTTCTAGATACATTGTTTCCTGTTCTCCTTGTTCAAGATACATTGTTCCCTGTGCTCCTTGTTCTAGATACATTGTTCCCTAAGCTCCTTGTTCTAGATACATTGTTCCCTGTGCTCCTTGTTCTAGATACATTGTTCCCTGTGCTCCTTGTTCTAGATACATTGTTCCCTGTGCTCCTTGTTCTAGATACATTGTTCCCTATGCTCCTTGTTCTAGATACATTGTTCCCTGTGCTACTTGTTCTAGATACATTGTTCCCTATGTTCCTTGTTCTAGATACATTGTTCCCTATGCTCCTTGTTCTAGATACATTGTTCCCTATGCTCCTTGTTCTAGATACATTGTTCCCTGTGCTCATTGTCCTAGATATATTGTTTCATGTCCTCCTGGTTCTAGATACATTGTTCTCTGTGATCCTTGTTTTAGATACATTGTTCCCTGTGCTCATTGTCCTAGATACATTGTTCTCTGTGCTCCTTGGTCTAGATACAATTTTCCCCTGTGCTCATTGGTCTAGATACATTGTTCCCTGTGCTCCTTGGTCTAGATACATTGTTCCCTATGCTCCTTGTCCTAGATACATTGTTCCTTTGCTCATTGTTCTAGATACATTGTTTTCTGTGCTCCTTGGCCTAAATACATTGTTCCCTGTGCTCCTTGGTCTAGATACATTGTTCCCTGTGCTCCTTGTTCTAGATACATTGTTTTCTGTGCTCATTGTCCTAGATACATTGTTCCCTGTGCTCCTTGTTCTAGATACATTGTTCCCTGTGCTCCTTGTTCTAGATACATTGTTCCCTGTGCTCCTTGTTTTAGATACATTGTTTTCTGTGCTACTTGTTCTAGATACATTGTTCCCTGTGCTCCTTGTTCTAGATACATTGTTCCCTGTGCTCCTTGTTCTAGATACATTGTTCCCTATGCTCCTTGTTCTAGATACATTGTTCCCTATGCTCCTTGTTCTAGATACATTGTTTTCCGTGCTCATTGTCCTAGATACATTGTTCCCTGTGCTCCTTGTTCTAGATACATTGTTCCCTGTGCTCCTTGTCCTAGATATATTGTTCCATGTGCTCCTTGTTTTAGATACATTGTTCCCTATGCTCCTTGTTCTAGATACATTGTTCCCTGTGCTCATTGTCCTAGATATATTGTTTCTTGTGCTCCTTGTTCTAGATACATTGTTTCCTGTGCTCCTTGTCCTAGATATAGTGTTCCATGTGCTCATTGTCCTATATACATTGTTCCCTGTGCTCCTTGGTCTAGATACATTGTTCCCTGTGCTTTTTGTTCTAGATACATTGTTTCCTGTGCTCCTTGGTCTAGATACATTGTTCCCTGTGCTCTTTGTCCTAGATACATTGTTCCCTGTTCTCCTTGTTCTAGATACATTGTTCCCTGCGCTCATTGTTCTAGATACATCGGAGTCCCTATTCTGTTGTTACTTCAGCTCCGGACTCACAGAGTGATCCTCGTTACTCGTGACAGACGAATAACAACAACAACAACCATGGAATTCCTATTAAGTTTTGTTTAGTCCGAAAAAGCTCAGCACAGTGCACAGGCTCTGTAGCACCGGCGAGGCTCCTGAGAATACTTTTGGGTAGATTTTTAACTCTAAATTTTACCCGAGCAGCGCCGCTAGGCTACTCTTTTCCATTTCCAACAGCCAGGGGATGTTTTTCGTGCGCAACAATGCACACGGGCGTCCGATCTCACTACCCAGAGTCCAGGGGGATTTCAAGAAGTCCAGGTGAAAAAATCCCAGCTCGTACCCGGGACTGAACTCGGAACCGCTAGCACTCTAGGCGGACAGCATGCCTCGAGACCAAGCAACCCTCAATGCGGATTGAGTTAGAAAACCTAGTCACTCCTAAACCTCCCCCCCTCCCCCCCCCCCCGCACCACCCCCCCCCCCCCAACGGGCCCCTTTCTTTCTGACCCATGATGTGTTGAATATCTATTGGGGACAGATTTATTTCAATTCAACACTGATTCGCAGTGGATCCAGATTGCATTACGGGGTGCCTGCGTTAGGTCTTGGCATTACATTGTGTGACCCCGCTAACGACCTCACAACTGAATGAAGCACGGCTTCTCTGGAACTGTAATTGTGTGTACTCAAAAAAGCAGTCGAGTAAGTTCCGTATTTTTAGAATCATTTTATTGTTTCCAATTTGTGTTAATATAATTCCTTTTTTTTTTTTTAATTCGTTAAAGGCGGCTAGAGCTTACAAGGTTGCCATGAGGACGAAGGACGCATCATTCCCGGATTTCCTGTTAGCAACAACCTCACAGCATCGATGACCCTTGAACTGTTGTTCTCACCAACAAAAGCGGTCATTCCGTGTGTCCTTGTGCGTGCTCTACCTCTAGATCACCTTTACTGAGAATTCATTTAGTCCTAGCTGAATAAAAAAAAAATCATTAAAAGCATATACTATCTGTGCTTGGTTATGTAATAATTAGATGTTTCCCCCGTGTGGGTTCCGGGGCTCCATTGTGAGGAAAACAAGAATAGACCCACTGCCTTCACAGAAGCATGTCGTAAGAGTCGACTAATTGGGGAGCTTCCTTTGAAGTCGGAGTGCATCTGCCGGAGAGGCAAGGAACCAACAGTCTGTATTCAAGAGAATGAGATCTGTAAAACTGCGGCACACGCAACACTCAGGTTCTGGAGCAGGACTGCAGTTCAGTAGGGGCGAGCAACCAGAACTTTCCGCCAGAGTGTACAGCTGGTGAAGGCAAAGAAGAAGAGGAAGAATTCGATGTTTATGGTTTACTTTGGGGCGACATGGTTTAATATATACAGTTTAAGCCCAAAAATTTATACAGATTGACACATATTCTGACAAATTTCACGAAGTTATTTGCCTGTACAAAATCTATGACCTATTTAACAATGTTCAAAACATCGTGAAAACCACTACATAAGACCGTGCGTAAACTTAGTGTGGCTTTCATGACAAAAGGAATTTTGTTGGGACCATCAATAATAAAGCAACTAGAGCCAGTCTATTGTCCACAAAGTTTAACCATGGACTCAACGATAACAGTTATTGGTCAACGAAAACTCTAGTCCACGAAGATAATTATTGGTCAACAAACAAACTGGTCAAGACCGCGAGTACAGTTATGAGTCAACAAACACACTGGTCAAGACCGCGAGTACAGTTATTAGTCAACAAACACACTGGTCAAGACCACGAGGACAGTTATTAGTCAACAAACACACTGGTCAAGACCACGAGGACAGTTATTAGTCAACAAACACACTGGTCAAGATCACGAGGACAGTTATTAGTCAACAAGCACACTAGTCAAGACCATGAGGACAGTTATTAGTCAACAAACACACTGGTCAAGACCACGAGGACAGTTATTAGTCAACAAGCACACTGGTCAAGACCATGAGGACAGTTATTAGTGAACAAACACACTGGTCAAAGACCGCGAGTACAGTTATTAGTGAACAATCACACTGGTCAAGACCACGAGGACAGTTATTAGTCAACAAACACACTGGTCAAGACCGCGAGTACATTTTTTAATCAACAAACACACTGGTCAAGACCACGAGGACAGTTATTAGTGAACAATCACACTGGTCAAGACCACGAGGACAGTTATTAGTCAACAAACACACTGGTAAAGACCGCGAGTACAGTTTTTAATCAACAAACACACTGGTCAAGACCACGAGGACAGTTATTAGTCAACAAACACACTGGTCAAGACCACGAGGACAGTTATTAGTCATCAAGCACACTGGTCAAGACCATGAGGACAGTTATTAGTCAACAAACACACTGGTCAAGACCACGAGGACAGTTATTAGTCAACAAGCACACTGTTCAAGACCATGAGGACAGTTATTAGTGAACAAACACACTGGTCAAGACCGCGAGTACAGTTATTAGTGAACAATCACACTGGTCAAGACCACGAGGACAGTTATTAGTCAACAAACACACTGGTCAAGACCGCGAGTACATTTTTTAATCAACAAACACACTGGTCAAGACCACGAGGACAGTTATTAGTCAACAAACACACTGGTCAAGACCACGAGGACAGTTATTAGTCAACAAGCACACTGGTCAAGACCATGAGGACAGTTATTAGTGAACAAACACACTGGTCAAGACATCGAGGACAGTTATTAGTTAACAAACACACTGGTCAAGACCATGAGGACAGTTATTAGTGAACAAACACACTGGTCAAGACCATGAGGACAGTTATTAGTTAACAAACACACTGGTCAGGACCATGAGGACAGTTATTAGTGAACAAACACACTGGTCAAGACCGCGAGGACAGTTATTAGTTAACAAACACACTGGTCAAGACCATGAGGACAGTTATTAGTGAACAAACACACTGGTCAAGACCATGAGGACAGTTATTAGTTAACAAACACACTGGTCAAGACACACTGGTCAAGACCATGAGGACAGTTATTAGTGAACAAACACACTGGTCAAGACCATGAGGACAGTTATTAGTTAACAAACACACTGGTCAAGACCATGAGGACAGTTATTAGTGAACAAACACACTGGTCAAGACCATGAGGACAGTTATTAGTGAACAAACACACTGGTCAAGACAAGGACACATTAGTTAACAAACACACTGGTCAAGACCACGAGGACAGTTATTAGTGAACAATCACACTGGTCAAGACCATGAGGACAGTTATTAGTTAACAAACACACTGGTCAAGACCATGAGGACAGTTATTAGTGAACAAACACACTGGTCAAGACCATGAGGACAGTTATTAGTCAACAAACACACTGGTCAAGACCATGAGGACAGTTATTAGTTAACAAACACACTGGTAAAGGCCATGAGATGGTTATTAGTGAACAAACACACTGGTCAAGACCGCGAGAACAGTTATTTAATCAACAAACGAGAACCCTAAGTTACATGCAAGTAATAGCATAAAGTTATTTTCACTTTGTTAAAAAACCCAACGCCAACTAACATGAAGTTTATAGTTCTACTAACCAACAATAACTAACTTGACAGTTAATTTCTACTAACCAACAACAACTAACATGACAGTTATAGTTCAACTAAACAACAACAACTAACTTGACAGTTAATTTCTACTAACCAACGATAGCTAACATGACAATTAAAGTTCTACCAATCAACGATAACTAACATGACAGTTATAGTTCTACTAACCAACAACAACTAACATGACAGTTATAGTTCTACTAAACAACAACAACTAACTTGACAGTTATAGTTCTACTAACCAACAACAACTAACTTGACATTTAAAGTTCTACTAACCAACAACAACTAACTTGACAGTTATAGTTCTACTAACCAATGATAGCTAACATGACAGTTAGAGTTTTACTTACCAACGATAACTAACATGACAGTTTTAGTTCTACTAACCAACGATAACTAACAAGACAGTTATAGTTCTACTGACCAACGATAACTAACATGACAGTTATAGTTCTACTAACCAAAGATAACTCACATGACAGTTATAGTTCTACTAACCAACGATAACTAACAAGACAGTTATAGTTCTACTAACAAAAGCAAACTAACATGACAGTTAAAGGTCTACTAATCAACGATAACTAACATGACAGTTATAGTTCTACTAATCAAGATTATCTACCATGACAGTCTTAGTTTTACTAACCGACAGAGACTAATATGACAGCAAACAACAGTATCTAACGTGACAGCATAGTTCTACTAACCAACAGGAACAATTTTATCAGCCAACATTAACTATCAAGAAAGTTATTCTTCTATCAGTCAAGAAGGATTATAAAGACAGTTACACTTCTATTAGCCAAGAATGACAATGAAGATAGTAATACTTCTAACAGCCAAGAATGACCATCAAGACAGTTATACTTCTATCAGCCAAAAAAGACTGTTATACTTCTGTCAGCCAGGAATGACTATGAAGATAGTTATACTTATATCATCAAAGAATGACCATTGGGGCAGTTATACTTCTTTTAGCCAAGAGTAAGTAATCGGGACAGTTATTCTTCTTTCACATGTAGTAATATTTTTTAGTGCCTTATTCATTGCCCTTGATTAGCACTGATAAAATCAAGTAGGAATAACAATGGAACTCTCAAGACAGTTATGCTTCTGTCAGGTACCATAACTATCAAGACAGTTATACTTCTGTCAGGTACCATATTATCAAGACAGTTATACTTCTGTCAGGCAACATAACTATCATGACAGTTATACTTCTGTCGAAAACATAACTATCAAGACAGCTATACTTCTGTCAGATACCATAATTATCAAGACAGTTATACTTCTGTCAGGTATCATAACTATTAGGACAGTTATACTTCTGTAAGGCAACATAACTATCAATGGAGTTATACTTCTGTCAGGTACCATAGCTATCAAGACAGTTATACA